AACCATTTAACTTTATAAATACTCTCTGTCTTAATTAGTCTTCCCATTTGCTTTTTGCACAGACATTAGGAGGGGTGATGTTGTGTGCTTGAAATATACTCCCTCTGTCCCGGAGTATTTGTCCACTTTTGACTTTTTTCAGTCAAAATTGGTAAACGTTGACCTCAAATTTAATAAAAATGAAATTAGATATTGATACAAAAATAGTTTTTTTAGATTTATTATATAAAAAATTTTCAAAATATTATTTTATCCAATTAATATACAATAAATATTTTATTTAATTATAGGTCAAAGGTTGAAAGCGGTTGACTAAAAAAGTCAAAATTGGACAAATGCTCTAGGATGGAGGTAGTATAATATGAACCACACAATTCTTTTCTTAAAAGGGAAATGAAAAAATTAATTAAGGATATGGATATCCCAAAACGAAAGTGTGAAGATAAAAAATGGAGGGGGGGGGGAGTTATAATGAACTAAGGATTAGGTTTAGTGACACAAAAATTTAAAAAGAGAAATGGTGCACTAATTAAAATTTATCAACTCAAGAGGAAGTGTTTCTAGCTCAAGGTTTTGAACTAGTACAATTCAAAAAAGCTAAATTAGTTATGTAAACAATCTCTTTAAATTGTCTCTTTTGACTCATTAAACCTTTCTGCAGGCAAAGGAGGTTGGGCCGCACCTAGACTTAAGGATGCAGATTTGCCGCTTGACAGGTTGCGTGAGGGTTATGTGGAGGTAAGATTTGTACTCTCTACAGGCATGTTAGCCTCTTATCATTATTCTTTTAGGTTCAGTTTGTACCCTCATTCGTTGTATGCTGGAAAAAGTTGGGGATGGGCAGATGGAGGTGACCGACTTCCACTGAACTTGGTTTGCTGTTGCTTTCTCAAACCCCAATCTAAAACGTAAAGGTTAGGCGGGGATGAGAACCCGGTTGGTTTAGAGGGGATAAACCAATAAAGTATGGGTTTGCAATGGAATTTTTTTTATCCAAAGTCTCACTATGAGTTTATACCATTTTAACCAATACCTGATGAACAGAATAGAACCAAGCAGAGTGTAACTCTTAATGGTACATTTCCCAACTTTGTAAAGGATATTCATTAAGACTTGCCTTAAATAAGAAATTTAGTCGCAACTTGCAAGTCTCAACATCTTCAAAATTTTAGTTATGCTCCTTGAGAATTAGTGGTCAAGTTTTCTTTGTGCTAGCTTAAATGAGATAAAAGGAAGTGTATGAAATGAAACTAAATACTTTTCATGGGCTGATGGGAATCAGTAGTCAAAGATATAATGTATGGACGCATTTAAAATTACCATTAATATTATCATTTTGGTTCTTAACATAAAAATTTTATCTACCTGATGTTACACACTTTTCAGAGTCTTCACTAGTATGCTCAATATGTACGATTCAGTAGAATGCTCAACCTTGTACGCGAATGTTCATTATAATGTAATTCTTAGATAATGCTGGTATCCAAACAAATAAAAAGCATGCAGACTTTGAAATGCAGTTACTTTCTTAGGTTTGAAAATGAGCATTGTGATTCTTTTGTGTTTATCCCCCCTTATTGACATCAAAAGGAGTTTTTTTAAATTCCTGCCAGGTAATTATGGTGATGCGGAAACTGTATCAGAACTGCAAATTAGTACACGGCGACCTGAGCGAGTATAACATCCTATATCTTGAGGTGAACCTATTCATTTTCCCTTTCTTGAATTGTATATTTCAGACTCTGCTTTGCACATGTGGTATGCCTGTATTTCAATAATTTCTCTGTCTTACAGGGTCACTTGTATATAATTGATGTTTCACAAGCAGTTGATCTCGACCATCCCCACGCTCTTGATTTCCTAAGGGAAGATTGTGTTCATGTGTCTGTGAGTTCTTCCTTCAACTGTTGCAATTATGCTCACAATGCTCGTGATTGTCTATATATGCAATTGGTGATATATGAGCTGTTACAGAGACTTTATGCTTGTGGTATGCAGGATTTCTTCAGAAAACATGGGGTAGCTGTCATGACAATTAGAGAATTGTTTGATTTTATTGTTGATCCTACCATTGGTGATGATAATGTGGATGCTTACTTGGATGAGGTATCAAGTTTAGATGTTATTAGTTATTACTTACATTACACGTTTTCTATTTTCGTATCTTGTCGGTATCTGAACCAAATTGATATTTTATAGACATCATTACTAGTCTGCTTCGTAATAATATGTTTCAGGTTCAACACAAGATTTTGTCAAGAGGTGAAGTGACTGCAGAGGATGAGATTGCAGACTCCGTATTCATTCAGGTTGTATATGAATTTTAGAGTTTTTGCATTTTACGACTGAAATTACATAGCATAACAAGCTCTTACGTTGCATGGGAACTCTAAGGGATAAGTATATTCTGGTGTGGGCCACGTTTCATGCATGTAAGCTTAATTATTTCAGGGTTGTTTTGCTTGTTTCTACAAATATACAAACGTTTCAATAATACTCCCCCCCCCCTCCTGGTCCCATAAAAAGAGTCATTTTTCACAAAGTTACATCTTTTTAATTTTAGTAAAGAACAGCTTTTGAAAATTATCAAGCATAGCTATAGATCTTAAATTTATCTGTTGACTCGACTAAGTTTAATGCACCCAACTTGTTTTGGACACTTTTTTAAAAAAATAATATACACGTTAACTATACTACGTATTACATAAATTGGTGCTGCTAATATGAGGTTTCTCGGACCCCACTTCAGAGTGGGATATACTGAGTATATTCGGTTAGTTAACAGTGATATAATCAAATCTCTGAGTAAGTTCAGACTTGACTGATTTTGGGTATTTGTTGAAAGTTCCAAGAAGTCATAAATTCTACTAATACATTTACTGAGGAAGGAGAAGGCCTTTTGAAGGACACGATTTGGGACCAAAAGGCTCAGTTCCTACTTCAGGAAAAGATACAAAAATTATTCATAAAATCTTACGTTACCATTAAACTATATGACTGAGGTGTTTACTATAATTAAATACAAAAAACGGCTTTTGTAGTATTGAAAGAAACAAAACAATTGCACCAAATATGATTTGAACCCATACCAAAGGTTAGTACTTGTTGAACCGACCTCTCCTCTCCTCTCTGAATATTAACCCTACTGTTACTCTGCAGTCATACATTCCAAAGAGACTGGACAGTGTGAAAAACGCAGAGGCAGATGTACATCGTATAGTCAGTGGTGAGGACACCGGGGATTTATACTACAAAACCATAACTGGGCTCAAGCAAGCAATCTCTGAGGCAGAAAAGCAGCACTCTGAGAGATCAACAAAAGATGATCACGACAGCAAGTTACTTGACAAAAACTCAGATGAGGTTGAGAGTGACGATGAGAGTGGAGCCGATTCCAGTGATTCTGAAGAAGGAGAAAGCAGTTCATTGTCGTCTGACAGTGGTGATACTAAACCTACAGCAATGGATAGGAAAGCTGCTAGGAAGGAGAACAAGAAGAAGGTCAAGGAAGAGAAGCGCGAAGCTCGTAAACATAAAGTGCCAAAAGCTGTGAAGAAGAAGAAGAAAAAGTTGGCCAAGGCAAAGAAGAACCGCTAGAAACGCGCGCACTAATCCCACATTGCAGGATGATCATGTCCAAGAGAGAAATTTTGTAGAGAAACTTTGTGTTGTGCCAACAAGATGTGTTACCTTTATTCGAGTAGTGACACTTCCTCTCATTTGTTGTATGCATGATTCCGTTGCTACCCTTTCTTTGGCGAATTGCGGTTATAGCTCACTAAATTTTGTTGAGTTTATGCCTAGAGTCCATCATCCCCCACATTTTCCCCTTTTTTTTCAAGTTCTATCTTTAAATATGTGAACAAGTTTGTGATACCCAGTGTGTTCTCAAGGGTGTTTTGTGCTAATATGTTACTTTCGTTTGAGCAGTCTTAAATATACTTATAGGCTTATAGCATTCCAATTTACATTAGATACAACAGATTTGAGTATTAGCAGAGTCTGTGGATGACCCAAAAAATTAGGCGGCTTAAATCGGGACGAATGGAATAATATTAAATGCTCGTATATAGTAATTCTCGTGTATTGAACTCAGCATCCCTTCTTCTTTCTAGGTTGTTTGGGTCATCCATAAGCATCTTACTCTGCGTATGAAATAATTCACTTAAAATCGGAGAAAATAATTACAACGATTTAATATTAATATAAATTCAATTACATTAAAATTACTAAATAAAACTTGTAACTTTTTCATAAAAAAGAAAAAAATAAAATATTTTTATTAAATATGGAGTAATAAAATAGTGTTATATTAATTATATTAATTATGATTCATTATTAAAATTATTTAGTGATAAATTAAAATTAGTGATTATATTAACTATATTAATTATTTATTATAATATAAATATTATTATGATTTAATACATGAAACCAAAGAAATGGTGTGACCATTTGTTGTCATGGATAATGTTTAAAGGTTTAAACATATTATCCTTCTCTCTCCATCCATCATTTCCAATAGTTTACATATTTGTATGCATCTATTCACATTGTTAAATAATAGTTGAATGAGACCAATGGAAGTGCTCTATGTGTCATAGGTTAAATATAAATCTTACTACCTACATCAAGTATATTTATCCAGTTTGATTTTTTTGAATCAAACTAGACAAATTTTTAATTTCAATAACTCTTAATTTATATTTCATATTAGTATGATGAAATATAATTTTAAATGTTCTCAACAAGATAAATATAATAAAATTAGTTTTATACAAATATACATTACAATTTTTATTAAATTAAATCTCAAAATTCATCTAATTTAACTCAAAAATATAAAACCGAACAAATATATTGCGACGGATGGGGGTATTTAAATTTTGAAATACTAGTGCAAGAAGGTGCTCCGTAATGTTTTTATGAACAGACGAATAAGAAAATGCAAAACGTTTTCCCATTACCAATTCTTTTTCTCATAATCTCATATTAGGACTCAGCCCAAATATTTTGATAATGGACAAGGTCATTGCCAGCCCAAAGAATTCATTTTCTTCTCGCCCTAAAGCAGAGTTTCATTAATGGTTCCCTCGCATTCTCCGCCCGCGTTTTGACGCCTTCTTTAAATCGGCTCTCCGGACTGGAGTCTTCGTTTCGTCTCTCCGGTGTCCTTCTCAAGTTCAGAATTTCAGATTTAAGGCAATTTATCATTCAAACTCTTACCAGGTGTTTATCTATGGTTTCATCAATGGAACTCTTAGATTTAAGTTATAAAGCTTGTAATCTATAAGGTATTCTGTCATTCAAGCAATTTGTCCAGGTTTTAAGCATAAATAAGAAACAGATTATTTGCTGTAATCATTCATTTCAAATGAATGCTTTGATGTGGAATATGTTTCGCGTAAGAAAAAAAACACATTTTACAAAATCAAAAAGTACTTGGAAAATACAGTGTTTTGTCAATTCTTTGCAAAACTCAAAAGAGAAAATCTCCATCCATTTAACGGAATATATTTTTAAATTTTCTGTTAACTTAAAAAACACAAATTGATCAGTTACTCATCTTGTGAAGGATTATTAGTTGTGGATGTTAATATTATTGCATCAAATGTTTATCAGACATTGATCTTCTCTTTTTGTGCTTGATCAGAATCAAATGGCGAATAGCAGAAAAAAGGTTGCAGAAGACCAAAGCTTAAAAGATAGAATCAGTGGTCTGCCACACAATGTTATTGATTGTATTCTTACCCACTTGCCTATGCAATATGCTGCAAGAACTAGTGTTTTATCCAGAAAATGGAGGTACATCTGGGCCACATGCTCAGAGATTGTGCTTGATGAAGCCTTTTACACCTTCATAGACAGAAGGAGATCTTATTTGCACACGGTGCATTATGCAGAAGTTGTGAGTATGATTCTCTTGCAACATCTTGGGCCCGTTCGGAAGTTTTATATAGAGGCTTCACTATCAGATATACATTTCATGAATCTGGATCAATGGGTTCTGTTCGTGTCTAGGAATGGTGTGGAGGAACTGACACTTAGGCCATCTTCTATAGGTTATAAATTGCCTTCTCACATTTTTGAATGTCAGCATCTAACACGATTGAGCATTCATAGAAGTACCTGGGCACCACCTCCTGGTTTTGGAGGCTTTAACCACTTGACTAGCCTCGCTTTGTCTTCGTTGAGTCTCTCATCAAACAAAGAAAGTGACGTGCTTAACACTCCAAATCTTATTCACTTGGAGTTTACACATTGTTATTTTTGTGTCAATGCCCTAAAAGTCCATGCTCCTCTACTCCAAACCTTAATCATTGATAGTCGCCATAAGGTTGAACTGAGCTCTTTTCTGGTCTTCCATGACCTGAAAAATGTTAAAGTTTTTTCTAAACAAGAACGGGACATTACACTGTCTGGAAATTACTCCCTTCAAGACATTATTCCAGATCTTATCAGCAGTTGGCCAGGAGTTGTTCAGCTCCAGCTAAATGGGTATCTACGCCAGGTGATCGATTTTAAAGTTTTCCAAATTTCTCTTTGTTGATCGACTTAATTTCATAACTGAATGAAGTTTGTGTTTTCTTGTATATTCCAAAGAATATGGATGTTCTCAATAAGAGTTTAAGATGGTCATCCTTCGCACCTGATTCCTACCATTCGAAGCCGATATATATTACCTACCTTTTGACCTCGCTCTCCTTGCTGAATGTGAATTTGAACAATAAGTGGCAGATATCGCAGGCCATGTGGTTGCTTGCAAATAGTACCAGTCTGAAATTTGCAACAATTGCTACAAAGGTGATGTGTTTACAGCAAATCTTATAGAGTATCAGATACACACACACACACAAATTGCTGATACAACTTTTTTTCTTGGGTTAAATATGTTTTTAGTCCCTGTAAAACTGTTTGTTAACGCATCCTTGCAAAAAATTTTATTTTGTAAATGGTCCTTAAATGTAGTTAGCACATCTAATTTGTTGACATGACACATTTATTTTGCACTCAACATTCTGATTTTGCATTTCCAATTGCCTCAAACACTATTTTCATTACATTGAATTACATTCCCAATTTTAAATTTTATTATACTACATTCCAAAAAAGTTTGGGAGTTGGAGGTGTAATATGAATAAAGACACAATTCAGGGTATGTGAATTGTGTGAGACGTAGTAGAAATGCAAGGCTAGGATTTAGTACAAAATAAATGTGTTACCTCAGCATATTAGAAGTGCATATTATGTTTAAGGACCATTTTCAAAATAAAGATTTTTGTAAGGATGACTTGACAAAATGATACTTTACTGGGACCAAAAACAAAAATCGCTTATTTTACAGGGACCAAAAACATATTTAACTTTTTTTTTTCTTTTTTTCTTTTCATAGGCATCAGTCCCAAATCACTCTGCAGTGGAGGACGATGCGATAAATTTGGAATTGCCAGCAGAGGCGAACAAGATGGGAATGAGCAGTCTAGAAGTTTTGGAGATAACAGAGATTTCGGGGTCAAGAGCCGAAATGTTTTTTCTCAAGGAGGTACTCGCTTCAGCCTCGTCCCTGCGTGAAGTTTCTATAGGGATTGCAAAATGTGACGCCACAGTGGAGCTGAGGATTTCAAAGGAACTGTTGCAGTTTCCTCGAGCATCCACAAAAGCTGAAGTGAAACTGTTTGGCGCGGCCGACAACCCCCCAAGTACGATTCGCTTTCCCTAGTAGAGTCATGACTGGTTTTGGGTTGCCTTTAATTGGACATCTTTTTGCCTTGATATATAACAAGTTTTTGGGAATCACACTCTTGCCTAGTATATTCATGGCTGGTTTTTGATTGCCTTGAATTGGACATCTTTTTAGTTTTGGTTGACTATATACATTGATCTATACCAAGATCTTTGGAGTCACATGCTTGCCCAGAGTTATATATATATGTGACCTTTATATCCTCCCTCTTACAAAGAACTTCACACTTCTCTTTGGTTGTTCTAAAATAAAATTATATGTATGGATTATATACTCATAAAGAAGGGATATAAAGGTCACAACATTTCTTTTCTCAACCAAACACTCCATCAGACCAGAACATTTTATCGCTGCTTCAGTTTGGTTGAACATAGCAACGGGTCATTTATTAGTGTTTTGAAAATGATATCTATTCTTAAAGATTAACGTTTTTAAAAATAATGTACACCATTAAACTTTTATCTTAAATGCTAAAATTAATTGAAAACGTGATTTCCAAACGAGCCATTAGGCATTTGGCCAAAAAGGAAAAGGTCATGTGTGCTTCTTCCAAATCCTTTCAAGAGGGAGTTCTTTGTGGTGCTCTTGAAGTTCGAACAGTACGTGAAAGGGGTCTACCCCATATTTTTAATTTTTTTTCACACTTTTTTTTTATTGGTTTTATTTTCAAAGTTTTTTTTTCAAAACCGAAAAAAAAGAGTAAAAGATCTCTTCCTAATTTTTTTCCAAAAATCATACTCCGTAAATGACGTCATCACTTAAAACCCTCTTATAGGCCTATAAATGCACATTGCAAATGTGTTTTCGACCGTTGGTTTTAATCCAAGCTTCTGGTCATTTTTCTAAGGGTGGTACCGTCTCTTGTTTTGTCCCGTTCTTTTTCAAACGGTTCGAAACGGTTCGAGTCACAAGCTTATCCATCTTTGTCTCTTAATATTCGGGATAGAGATAAAGCGGAATGGGTTCAGGTTGTCCTACTTTTCATTATCTAAAATTTGATATAAAAATATAAAATATATATAAGGGGAGGCAACCCACTTTGACTTGCAAAGTAATAAAAAATGATATATTTATTTACATAATAAGATACATGAATAAATGTTACAACATACGTTAAAAGTCAAGACTATGAGCTTTCATAAAAACTATGAGCCACAAATAGAGGTGAGCCAAGTTAGAAGGGTCGATATTTTTAACTGTTCCAGTCCTAGTCTATTTTTTTTTAGAATATTCTAATATGAATATTTCTTACTATGGGAGTATCTATTCTGAAAAAAATATAATACCCGTACTTTTTTGTGTTATATCACTATATATATATATATATATACACACACACACATATACATATACATATACATATACACATACACATACACATACACATACACATACACAGATATATATATATTTATATATATTTATATATATATATATATATATATATATATATATAGGGGAGGGATCAAGTGAGAATGAGTTGCTGTGAGAGAAATGAGAATGATCTAGATCCATTAGATTTACTTCATCGTGCGGTCTCCAATATGCAACATAAATTATTTTTTAAAAGGAAAGGGGAATTGTTATTGGGTATGTTAAATGAGACAGACACGTGGAAGGGCATTTCTGGAAATGGAGAAGTACATTAATAAGCGTAAAAAAGGTGCAGATCTTTAATATCCCGCCACTTACGCATTTTGCCTTGAATAGAAGTCTTTTTGCTTTCTTCCATAACCCTTTTCTTCCGCCGGCGCTGCATTCTTCAGAGCTTCGTTCAGAGTGAAATTGGTAAGTGAGAGAAAGTTGCAGTGCACGCCTTAAGAAGAAGGAGACCTCGTGAAGGAGGAGGCTGTTAGAAATTGCATTCTAAGGCATGACTACTGCGGGGAAATCAGCGGTGGTGGTTGAAGGTATGCGTTTTTAATTTCGAAAGGGTCTATTTGATTTGGGGTTTTGGTTGTATTGCATGCCGTTGATTAATGCATCTGTAGTTTTAATTTCGAAAGGGTCTTCGACATTCTTCTCTGTGAGTTTTTGGTGCATCTGTAATTACAATTTATGACAATTTATGAGTATATTTGTGTTCTAGCATTAAACTATTTGTGTTCTAGCATTATGAGTATTTTTGTGTAATAGTCTTGACTTTTATGAAACAGATTTTGGAA